TAGGAAGCACAATGTAAGTTTCTTGAATTCCATCATCTTTCCTCTGTGCCAGCATCAACCTACCCTCTGACACTTCCAGTACTGACCCATCCTCCATCCCTCCTCTATACCGATACTGATCCTCCGTCCCTCCTCTATACCGATACTGACCCATCCTCCATCCCTCCTCTATACCGATACTGATCCTCCGTCCCTCCTCTATACCGATACTGGTCCTCCGTCCCTCCTCTATACCGATACTGATCCATCCTCCATCCCTCCTCTATACCGGTACCGACCCATCCTCTGTCCCTCCTCTATACCGGTTCCGACCCATCCTCTGTCCCTCCTCTATATCGGTACTGATCCATCCTCCATCCCTCCTCTATACCGGTACCGACCCATCCTCTGTCCCTCCTCTATAACGGTACCGACCCATCCTCTGTCCCTCCTCTATACCGGTACTGATCCATCCTCTGTCCCTCCTCTATACCGGTACTGATCCATCCTCTGTCTCTCCTCTAAACTGGTACTGACTGGCATCTTCACTGGAAAAATACTGTTTCTTTTTCTGCCACCAATGGAATTGTTTTGAGCTTTCTATCCCATTTACGGAATCTGTCACTTCCTGCAGTTTCTCCAAACTCATCATATTTACTTGAAATCACTCCCTAGCTTTGAAACATAACCTTTTATCACAGTGAATCGGGCCAATATGAACTTTTCCCCATGGCTGCACCTGGATGCTGGAACAGAGCCTCCTTTGTGAAGTCACCCTGCATATATATATATTTACCAGGTAGTTCTAACTGTACTCCCATGCAGCTGAACAGTGCACAGTGGGTATGTCACACTTTTAATGCGGATGTGTATCTGTAACCGCTCCCAGTGAGCATGGGTGACACTGCGCTGGCCATAAGACCTGCAGCAGGAGTAGCATTAGCACTGTGTCACCCCAGGAGTGGGAAGGTGATCCTGGCAAACATGAGCTGCCTGCCCAGCTGAATGATTTAATGCTCTGGTGTGACCTTGAAAAATGAACTGACAAAATATTGACAAGTCTTTAGAATTTTTCCATTGCACAAATATAAAGAAAAACCTATATTATTGTTCTTTTGTTTACCATATTATTATAGCTCGTGGGAGTTTTACTTACACAGAAATGCTCTGAGGGAAAAAGGAAAAATGATTGGTTTAGAGAGATAACCAATCAGATTGTAGAGGATGTGGGATCAATCAACCAGATGCCTTGGTCCCACCTCCTCTGCAGTCTGATTGGTTATCACTCTGAACCAATCATTTTTCCTTCTGTCCTCAGAACATTTTGAAGTTTTATAGCATAACTCTCACAAGTACAATTATATTTGAGTTGTGATGTCCTATGATACCCATGGTGTGTGAGACTCACAGAGCTATACTACCCTGCAAATGTGCACACTATTTAAAATGATTGAATTCAGCTGCTTCGGCCACACCCATTGCTAACAGGTGCATAAAATCAACCACACTATCATGCAATCACTGGGTAATACTGAAGAGCTTAATGACTTTGATTATGCACATCATTATGGGATGGCACCATTGCGGGGAATCAGTTTGTCAAATTTCTGCCCTGTTAGACTTGCTCTGGAGATCTGTTAGTTCCATTTTTATAAATTTTATAAACAGCTCATCCGCAAAGAGGTAGGCCTTGCGAGCTGACATATCTGGACCGCAGAGTGCCGAAGCACATGGCACCTAAATATCACCTTTCCTTGGTTGAGGCAGTAGCTGCAGGGTCTCAAACTGCCTCGGGAAGCGTTGTCAGCATGGCGACTGTCCATCACAAGGTTTATGGACTGTGTTTCCATGGCCAAGTGGCCATATGCAATGCCAGGTGTCAGCTCAACCAGCGCAAAGCAAATTGCCATTGGGCTGTGGAGCAGCATAAATGCGTTCTCTGGAGTGCAGAATCACGCTTCGCTATCTGGCAGCCCGACGGATGAATTTGGGTTTGGTGGGTGTTGGGAGACCCCTACATGTCTGAATGCATGGTGCCAAATGTAAAGTTTCGTGTTCAGGACTGTTTTTCATTGTTTGGGCCAGTGAAGGGCACTCTTGAATTCCCAGCATACAGAGACAAGTTGGAAAATTGTATGCTTCCAAGTTTGTGGCAAAGTATGTGGAATGCCCATTCCTGAGCCAGTTTTTGGTATGTGTGGTAGGGATATACCTCTAACAATATTGTGGGAGTACCATTTATTTAGGGGGGTGGGGGCAGGTTGAGGACTGAATAGCCTACCAATGTTGAAACCAAACCTATTCCCTTGAGTATGACTGTGCCCCTGTGCACAAAGAAAGGCCAAGGTCCTTAAATCCATGGTTTGGTGAGGTTGGTGCAGAAGAAATTGATTGGCCTTCACAGAACCCTGACCTCAATCCCACTAAACACCTTTGAGATGAATTGGAACGCTGACTGCATGCTAGGTCTTCTCATCTGACCATACTAATGCTCTTGTAGCTGAACATGCTCAAATTCCCACAACCACACTCCAAAATCCATGGGAATGCCTTCCCAGAAGAGTTGAGGCCAAAAAAAAACCTGACCAAAAAACATTAAACAATAAAATATTAATTTGTTGAGGGGGGTAGCTCTGTGGGTTAGGACTCAGAAGGTTGCTGGTTCAAATCCCTGAGTCAGCAGAGTGATCCCACCATTGGGCCTTTGAGCAAGGCCTTTAACCCCTGTTGGTTGACCCTACTTTCTCTATGTCCGTTTCATGAGGTGGTTTCCTGGGATGCTTTTCCAGCTGTCCTGAAGGAGTACCCACATATATGCTGAGCGATAATTGGCTGCTTTTCCTTCGTCAAACTCATCCAAAAAAAATTCTACTGTATTTAGGTAAGGTGGCAAGGTCATGTTATGCAACACTATCTTTCCTTTGTCAGCGACTTGGTGCGTCCAAACTTTTGTCTAGTACTGTAGATGTGATGGAAAGGTATCCAGATTCTGTTGGCTAGGAAGTGTACATAAGTTTTTGTTTTCTACCTGAAGACTGCAGGTCCACCATGAATCAGCCAACAGGAGTGAAGTCCAGGAAGATGATGAGTCCACTGCCTCTTGAGGTAGGGCAAGCTGTTGCTTTGAACCAGGGTGTATTTTTATAACCACCCAGCAACAAGCAGAAAGCCTGGAAGCTGAGGGCTATTTAAATGCCCCACATCTCTGATTCTGAGTTTGTGATGTCATCTCCTCCATTTTCACTCATTACGGATTACCCAGTTAATCGCATCATTATTCAGATTCTCAGAACACATCAGTTTTTTTCCTTGTTTTTCTTGCCGTGTGCGCTGCAGGCTTCATGCCTACGTGCCTAAAGCAGAGCAGCCCTCGATCGTTCCCGGCCACAGACAGAGCAGATTACCAAGGGGGATCTGCAGGACACACATACCTTTGACTGTCAGGAGTATTCCTTCACATTCCTGTCATAGGTGTGCAGTGCATGTTCATAGTCACAAAAGACATTTTTCTTCCTTGTAATTTTAATAATGAGTGATGGAACGTGGAATGTGGCAGGTGAAAGATGTTCAGCAGCATCATTGGAGTTGACGGCTAATGTGCTGGTGGTTGATCTTGGGTACAAATAGGGCTGTGGTTGGGAATTCTCGGTATCAGTGACAAAATTTGTGACTCAGACAGATCGCTTCTGGGCAAAAGCCCAGGGCAGGATTGGGGCTGCCTTATAGCACCGGCACAGCAGGAGCTCTAATATCTTTATAACCGTTACTTTATACAGCAAATGCATACCAGTTATGTCAAACCCTGGTTATACAAGACTTTAGACTTGAATGTTTGCTGTGCATTCATAGAAATAAAATGAAAACGTGTAATAAGGATGCTCATGTCTCTGACAGTTGCTTGGGGTGATTGGTAAACGTACTACCACAAGAGGTTTGCACGTGTCTGACCACATGGGATTCACCTCTTGTCCACTAGGGGGTACCATTTTATGCTCTACAGTCTACTAGTATTGCATGCAGACTGGCTGAGTTACCTTCCAAAGAACACATTTCAGGTCAGTGTTGCCATAAAAGTTTTCAAAACCTGTAGGAACTGATGTAATTCAACACACTGCAGGTTTTCTTGCTGTTCCCAGGTGATCTGGTCTGGACAAGCTGACTTCTGTATGTGTGCAATGGAGGAAGTCCGTATATTTTTTTTTAATGATTTGCTGTCTAGACCCTGTAGGGTTATGGGTCCCCAACCTCTTGGTACATTGTGTAAAATATCATGGGCCTTTAAAACTTGGAGTTGGAAAATGATGAAAATTAACATCACCAAAATGTCAAACTTCCACACCAGTAACCAACACATTTTTGGGCCACAAACCATCTCCAACCAGGAACTGCTCACCAGATACAAGAATGACAGCATGGGCACCATCATCATGAGAAGAAGATGGCATAATTATTGTCCCAGTTCCTATAATCTGCTACCCTTCATCTTCCACTGTTTTATGTTTTATTGCACTGCGGTACTACTGTCCTCAACTCCTCGCCATGCGTCTGTCCCCACCATGCGTCTGTCCCCTCAGCGGTAACTGTGGAACAAGAATTTCACTGTGTTCCACAAAACAGGGGGCCAGAAAACTTGAGATGGATCAAACACACCATTACCAGAGAACAGGAGTCCACCACAGCTCTCCAGTGGAGCCCAGAAAGGACACCAGGAGGTGTACTGTGAAAATAGAACTGGAGACACTGAACCAGGGCTGGGGCACCATACAGATACAGGCCCAAGACAGACATAAGGGGAAGTCCTTTGCATAATGTGCAGCTGTAGTAGTAACAGTAGTACCAGTTGTAGTAGTGGTAGTAGTAATAGTACTATTGCTCTCTTAACAATAGGGTACCTCAGCATTTAGAGCCCCTACCGAAGTGCTACTTCATTTCATCTCCACTAGTGGGCACACTGCGCCGTGTTATTGTACAAGCTGCCGTCAAGCGCGTGGCAATGCCGTAAAGAGTCGTGAACAGTTTCTATCGGCAAAAGGTCTAGGGATAAAAAAAAGGCAAACCGAGCGCAAAGAGAGAGAGGGAGGGAGGGCTGACCGAATAAATAACAGGCCGGAATGGGGATCTCAGCACAGGCCCGCATTTCTGCCTTATGAATAAAAAGACGATGAGACGCGCGACAGTCGTTGTATAGAAAGGGCAGTTTAAACGTCATATAAAATACACAGCTATGTGCTGTGTGTGATGGTAAATACATTATATTTTTGATGTATATAAGTATAGCTCGATTAAGTTCGATCTCCGGTTTTGTTATGTCGGCTTTAATTCCAGACTGGTGACATTTATTCTCCAGCCGTAATACTTCAGCATCACGGGCAGCGGTCGCTCGCCAATTAGCCAGGAGCCGCGGGGGAAGGTCTGCCCCTCTGAGGCCTCGTTATACAGGTAAGTTTTTGGCTGGTCTGGGGCGGCAGAGCCGGGAGGGAGCCGGAATGGCTCCTCTCACTTTGGGGAAGCAGAGGGGGAGGGTGGCTTCGTGATGGAAGCTGGGTCGGTGTGTAACACGGGAATCGGCGTCGTTTCTGGCCCGCACGGCTTCGGCGGCTCCCGCTGTAGCTGCCAAGCTAGCCGTGTCGGTGAGCCTGAGGTAACGTCAGCTGCTGGGTGCCTCGGCTAGTAGCCGTCAGATACCAGCCGGGAACTGGGTATAACAGTGGTTGGCGCTCAGCCAGCGGCGGAAACACCGATTTCTCCATCATTTAGTCCGCCCTTCATCTGCAGAGCCCGCTTACAGGCCAGACCGCCTTGGCGAGTGACTGTCGTCCTGGGTGTCGCCTTGCTAACCGGCTAACGGGCTCCCCAGGCGAGTCATACGACGAATCTGGTTTATTTTCCATGAGCTGCTCTGCCTGGACACCGAGGGCGTAATGAAAGCGGTGCGTTTGGGACCTGCTGTCAGGGAGAAAGTCAGGGACTGGCCGGCTAACGAAGCTAAAGTGATTAGCCATTTGTCCGTGACGCTGCCGCCTGTCCTCTACCCTGCGCATAAACGCGGCCATTTCTCTCTGTATAATAACGGGGCCCATTTTACCGGGGGCTGCTGCTTTTATACAAACCTTTGCGTGTGTCTATACGCCATTTTTTCCCCAGGAAGCGCTACTTAAGGCGGACGCGGCCAGGCCCAGTGCCCTCGCCGCGTTCGGCGCGCCGTCCGACGGCCACGCCTCTTTGGGCCCCGGCTGGGTCCCGCTTGACAGGCCGGAGCGGACCGGCCGTGCTGTAGGAAGGCAGCCCGCCGGTCAGCTGTTATTGCGGGGTGTGGAATCATTTTTCGTGGGCTTCTCCGCCTCTGTTTTATTCTCCACTCACACACGAATAACTTGTTAATTAGGGTCATTAGGGGTTTGTAGGATGATTTTTAGTGGCCTGGTCTCGCAAGGTTATAATTGCTAAAACTGGTATTTTTTCCATCTTCCTTGAATTTTCATAATCATTTAAGCGTGCTATTTTTTTACCTTTATGTGGAGTACTTGGGGGTTACTGGTAATATTGCCAAAACAGTATTAAATGTATTAAAATCAGATGAACTAATATTTAGGTTATGTACATTGACAATATTAGAATACTTAGGACTACAGCAGACTAAATCCAAACATGTGAAGTCTAAAACACACATTACACGTTTTAGTGTGTTACTTTAAGTTTTCACTCTGATTTTGAAGTACCTGTTCAAAATGCTATGAAGATGGCATTAAACATCCATACATCTGCAAAACCCTTAACCTAGTCAGGATCACATGGATGCTAAAGGCGATCCTGGACAGCATTAGGCACAAGGCTGAGTTTAGACCAGGAAACCTGCATGACACAGGGAGAGGGTGCAAGCTCAACACACAGCAGAGCAGGGGATGGGATTTGAACCGCTCACCCCCCTGAAATGAACCAGTTAAAAGGCAATATGGGCTTCAATTGTTATGTAGAGTAGCTGGGTAATTCAAAGTAGCAATGTTCCATTTGCAGGCATTCTGTTACCAGTCTTTAGTTAAAACAAATATAATAGCACATCAAAACATCGACCTTATGTTAATGTAGACCTGTGGTTTCCTGGGAGATTTTTTATGAAAAATTGATTAATTTGAGGTAATTTGGCTCACAGGCCAATTAAAATATTACACCCAGTATCAGCGTAATAAACGTAACAGTACAGGAAGCATGAAAATGCTTCTGTTCTGGATTAGCGGTGTTATAAATGGCTGGCTGGCACATGGCACGTGTTCTTAGTGTAAGTGATCTGAGAGCCATTAGCTATGACACAGCTGGGTCAATCAGAATGTGTGACTGCTAGGATAAACGATGGAATGGAGGAGGTAAGGACTTCATCTCCTTGTGTTTTTTATTGCCATTTTTATATATTCCCTCCCAGGTGAGGATCACAGATGTGTGCTTGGTGGCTTGGTGTCATCCACACCTGCAGGGACTAGCGTGTCCCAGACGAGCTGCTCGGTTTTCAGTTGGCTGTTTGGCTGAAATGCTGGTTGTGGGCCGTGTGCCTGTGAGGGGACAGTCACACGCACTCCCCTGTGTGTGTGGCACTGGATGCCTCAGCAGTGCGCTGCGTTTGCTCTGTGATCGCAGCTGCCTCGCCGAGGTGCCTTTCTGGGTTACTTCTTTCTGGCTGATGTTGCTGTGTGCAGTCGGGTCCTCAGGCTTCCCCTTGACCCACTTCTCACTCAGCTCGTGCTTCCAGGAAGGGATGTGGGTCTTTTCTCCCGACTTTATCATAACGCTGCTCCTTTGCTGATAAGTCACTGCAGCCACAGCACCTATCTCAATTTTAATAATTTATTCTTAATTTTATTAATATGATTTGCCTTTGCATTATGCCATTGATGGCCAAGACCTTATTTTAGGGCACGTTGGTGGTCCCCCTCCCCCAGGCTTTAGTCACAGGTGCTCTGCTGCCCCGGTGCTGTGGGCCTCCGTCCTCAGCTTGTCCCCACTGCCGACGGCTCCTGAGGCTCCTCGGCTCGTCAGGCCTTGCAGGGAAGTCATGCTGGAGGTTTTCCAGCGTCCAAGTCTCCGGTAACAGGAGCCAACACGCAAGTTCCTCTTAAAGCATGAGTATTTCTGCTCTCTCTCGCACTTCCCCACATGTTTTGGTGCGTGTAGCTTTTATGCTCCAGGCAGATATGTTGCTCTCACTAACATCGTCAAACAGGAAGATATTTACATCCAGCCTAACCGGGTGATGTCTTTTATGTAGCCCCGTGGCGTATATAGTCCCACAGATGTTGATGAATGTGTTTATTACATGTAGTAACACACTGATCATGTCTGAACTACTCTTACCATAAATATGCATTCATAAAACCAGCCTGCAGCATTCAGGGCTGTTGGGGGGGGGGGGGGTCACCATTAGCTTAAGCCCTTTGCCGAATCTAGGGAAGCGCCAGCCTTCCTCAGCTTTTTCCTTATGGTCTCCATGGAATCGCTGTCAGTGGATTGTCACCCCTACCCCAAGGGCCTGACTGAGGAGGAGTCCCCCTTCACCGACTGTGTGTCACTCAGTCGTATTTCCGCATGATGTGGGCCAGTTTGTTGGTTGTAAAGGTGCCAATGCGTGTGTTTGCCATTCTGGCGTTGAACTTGCGGTCGCAGGTCTTGTGTTATTGGGCGTTGCCCTTGATGATAACAGCCCATCGGCTTGGATTCCCTTCATTGCAGCCGTGTCCTTTCTGGTCTCGTTTTCCCACTGCATGCACTATTATTTAAAGCATTCTGTGGCCTCTGGTCACGGCTCGTCCCAAAGTCCTGGTGCCTGTCGTGATGTGTGGCTCTCGTTGATCCTCGTCTTCTCCCTGTCAGAGGCCATGCATACCCCATATCTGGCATTTGAGCCTTCTGGGTCCTCTGACCGCAGCGGCAGGTCTTCACGTGACTAACGTGAGGGATCATCTTTTGTCATGGTCATACCTGGCACCACGGTCGGGTTACACAGCCTTACTCCAGGACCATCAGTCCGCTTCAGCACAAACTACAAAGAGCGGCGGGGTGGGGGGTGCTTATGGCCCTTGGGGTTCCATTCCTGCACATGCATACTGGTCTCCTGAGGGCCGTTTCTCTGCAGTTTAACTTCCCCAGTCTCAGCTCAGGTGGTAGATTCCTACCCATCCCCCACCCCCCCCCCACCCCTGATGGGCTGAATTTGTTTACATTGTCAGAAGATTCAGATGCTAACACTGCAGGGTTTGTTCTAGTGGAAGGCATTGCGCGGGGGCAGGGGGGAGGGGTATGCACTGATGGCTGTCCAGGGGGGCTGTAAATGACGTTACTCATCCTCCCCCCCTCCACGCGGGTCCTGCATCAGATGTCTTGACGCTGCTATGATCTGGGTGTGCTCTGTCAGTTCCCCCATCAGCTAGTGATGGTCACTGTCACTGGAAAGATTCTGCCTCCCCCAGCAAATCTCATGTGCACCCCCTGGCTTGTGTGTGTATACGCAGTTTATTGCCGTGTGACACACCACCCGGCTGCGGCATCCTACTAGTGGCGTGTGGCTTGGAGCTGCTCCCTAACTCGCACCCTCGCTGGGCTCTAGCGCTACGTCATGATGCTGCTTCCAAAGTTTCCCTGGTAAATATCTGCTCTAGGAGTGAGGTGTTCAAAGATGGTGGTGCGAGATTAAATTATTTACTGTATAATTCAATTCTCAGCTAATAAATATGCCTTCTAAATGACTCACAGTAACTTGCAAGCTAGGAGCTATTTACAGTGTTAGTGTTCAAATATGAATAGTATTTTATTAACGGCAATGAATTACTGTACTGCAGTAGTTTTATGCATTACCATATATATTACATTAATATGTATTATAGTTAATATTACTAAAAGAACAGACAGAATTGGCTTAATTATTTTGAAAGTAGCTTCTGCGTCAAACGGCTAAATGAAAGCTGAATTTAAAACGATATCTTAGTCCGTATGAACAACTTTCACAGGGACTAATTTATAAGCCGTCTGGCTCAAGACTAGGGGACCGTGTGATGACAGAACTGGCCTTTGGTGCTCAGAGACAACATCCATTCTTTATAGATTTTTTTTTTTTGGTTGCTCGCCTGCCGGTATTGTGAGGCAAACGTGGACATTTAGAAGCTGTCCGGACCAGAGCAGAGTCGTTACTCGGTCCATCGCCATTGGTAGCAGACAGTTTTCATACCAGTATAATTATTGACTCATTACCAACATTTAGTAATACTACAGTAAAACAGTCAGGCCAGCTAGATTTTTGGTTTTAAAGGGGTTGTGTTACATTTGTGTACTTTGGTGGTGTTATTCTCAGAGTGGCTGTTGGGACGGCTTTCCCACAGATATGAGATTAGGCATGTCAGTTTAAGCCAAAATATGTAGAAACTGGGCTTCTATTGTTCGGGTTCCTGGGTCTCTCGAGTTTAGTGCCCCACCCTTACAGTCGCCCCACAATACCGGAGCCAGTGTGGACTCCTCAGACAGATGGCCGCCTTCATAATTCACGAGCTGGGAGATGGCAGGCCTTGAGGTGATTCCAGTGGAGCATGGTGCTCCCCCCGTTTCGGCACAGAGAGGGTGGGGCGGCTGTCTCTGGAGGCTGCGGGTGGATGTTTGTCATCTGACAGGCAGAGCTGCTGCTCTTTCCTGTTCTTCCCACATTTGTCCGAATTGAGTTCTCCGTTTCTGAATGGGATCTTGGCTTGCTCCCTCACAGCTGACGTGGGCCTCTCTCCCACACTGGCCCCTCACTTTCTTCACTGCCCTTCCGCATCACTTGCCTCTTCTGTTTGGGGTTTTATATCAGACGTGACCACGGTGCTCCGCTGTCTCTGGTGCATCGCTGTGCTCATATTCGTGTCTGCGAGGTAAAAGCAGCTTTTCCAGCACTCCTGTTCCTCTTCCTGTCTGCCGGCGGAGTTGACTGATGGCTTCTGTTTGTGGCACGCGAAGAGCAGAAGCCGTTTTGCGTGCCGATTGGTAGGCGAGTTCTTGCCTTGAAGGCATGAAAGTGGAAGTTTCGTTGCTTTGCAGCAGGAGCAGTCTGGCTGATGTGTTCGGCGGTGATGTAATGGTCACTTGTCGTGGATATAATGCCGATGGCCGAGTTTGAGACTATCATGTGTTTTTCTTCAACAGAATTCACAAGCACCCCTTACAGACCAGGTCATTTGCATCCCTGCCTGTCTTAAGGGTTGTTACCATTACATTAGCCCCTGTGTGGATGATTTGTTGGCCGTTGCTTGGCCCCTTGGTATGTTCCACCTGCCCATGAACACAAATTAATCAGCAGCACAAGCAAATTCGGTTTTCGGTGTCCACTACTCATCCTGAGTTTATTTTAAATCTTCAAAGAGAGGATGAGATGCCTGTAATTAAGTCCAGCTCTGATGGGTCTGTTTGCTACTTATGATGATACTAAGCTGCTCAGTTTCTTACTGCCTTCTCCTTTTTGTTGCCTCCAGAAGGTGTGGGTGGAGTCGGACCCTCTGCCCCGTCTTGGGACCCCTCCCCCCCCCATGGAATGCTAGGAGTTGGTGCCAACGTCCCGCGTGTGGCATCTCCGGAGCCCCGCCAGGATGAAGAGCGACATACCGCCCAGCGCGATGCGCCAATGTGACCCTGTAAAGGGGGCGCTGGCTGGCCCGGAGCCTGTGGAGGCCAAAGATTTTGTGGGGGACGTGGAGCTTGTGGCCAAGGCAGGCAGCGAGCTGGCGCCCCTGTGTACTGACTCCCGGCAGGACGCAGCCAAGGCAGACCCAGGCAGGGGCCTTGGCGGGCGTAAGAAGCGCAGGGGCCAGCAAGCGGGCCCCTCGGACTGTGTGCCCATTGAGGGCCAGAGTGAGGAGGAGCGCCCCCTGGAGTCCTCCCTCAGCGACTGCGTGTCGTCCCCTTCGTCCAGCCCACGTTTCGGGGACTCGGACACGCTCAGCTCTGAGGATGAGGAGGGCCTCGGAGCGCCATGGGTGGGGCCGAGGGCTGAGAATCGCCGTCAGCCGCAGCAGTCAAAGGCAGCGCCAGCAGGGGGCACCGGCCGGCCGCATGCCATTCTGGGGCGGACACGGGGCAGCAGGACCCACCGATGGCCGCAGCCAGAGGCGGAGGCCGTGCTCCTAAAGCGGCCCTGCCTGACCCACCGAAAGCATGTGGCGAAGGGGGCTGTGGCCACAGGGGTGGGCGGGGTCAGCCCACGGACCCCCCGACAGAAAGAGCGGCTGCTGTTGCAGCGCAGGAAGCGGGAGGTGATCGCCCGCAGGAAATACGCCCTGCTGCACAGCAGCAGCAGCAGCAGCAGCAGCTCAAGCGAGGAGCTGACTAGCGACGACTCCTCATCATCCTCGCCGTCTTTCACCGGGCCAGAGGACGAGCTCTACGTGGACGTCAGCAGCAGCAGCAGCCATGCCGATGGCGCCATCGTGGCTGCAGGTGAGAATCCAGCCGCACGGCGTCTTTGCTCCTGAAACGCAGCAAGCTAGGAGTTTGCCTCTTCGTGGCCTGAAAGGGGTGCTCTCTCAAGCCGACAGTGTTCCCTAATCTTTCCCTGCTGGCTCCTGTTTGCCGTTATACTGGCTTCTGAACCTCCAGCTATCTTGTAAACAGACCTGAACGAGGCTGCTAGCTGAGGATATGTCAGGAAGTGGGTTTGGGGGGGCGCGTGTTTGCAGGGTAGCTGACGGGTAGCCAGGCCTGCTCTGTCTGCTCAGCGGTGTGGCCTCTTTGACACTGCAGGACTTTGCGTAAGCACTGTGTGATGCTCCTCCTGCACGTCTTTAGAAGAATGTCTCCTGCTTAACTAATTTAGTTACCGCTCTCATGCTGCAACGTTGCTGTGATTCTGCTCAGGCCGTGTCAGGTGGTGAGGTGTGGGATGGGGAACGTCGCCGCAGTGCTGCCTCCAGCAGGAGGGCACATGCACGGCAATTCTGTTTAGTAGAAATCGGCATCATCAGGAACGCCAGCGTATCGGTGGCCTTGCTGCACCTTCTTGGTCTTCCCATCATGTTGTCCCCATCCTCCTTCCCGTTCCCCCTCTCTGTTGGGAGATGCGTCCTGCTGTGCTGAGTTTCAGAGCCAAGTTTGTTTGGATGTTTAAGGCATTTAGTGCGTACTCACCACATAGCCTGCCGAACAATCGGACAAAGAGAGGGCTGTTCCCTGTGCCCCCCCCTGCTGTTGAGCAGCTGTGCCTTGTGTATTTCTGAATATACAGTATCATTATTAATGAAGCTGCACCGCCCTGCCATCAGCGTTTGCCACTAGCCCTGCCAATCAGCTGGCTCTTCTGTGCACTGCTCTGTTATGGTTACAGAATGCTGTGTTTATCCATGTCAATTTCCAGCACCCAAATGTGCTTGTCTCTGGGTGTCAACACAATGAATCTCATATCGCTCTATCCCACCCCTGCCCCCCAGCAAGGTCCGCTGGTCCATCTGCCTTGCGTGTCACCGCTGTAAGTGATTGCTGTGGGGCTGCCCCCACCCCCGACACTGACGCATAGTGGTGTCGCTTTGGAAAAGGCCGCATGGTATTTGCGGGTCGGCTTTTGCGATGTTAGGGGCTTGGAGACAAAGGGCACTGCTGTGTGAATAGCTGCCTTTTTCTGGCTCTGCTACCCCCCCCCCCCACAGCAGGCAGTGCTCCCTACAGATTGAGGTTGTTTCCATGTTTGTTGGTTCTTCTGACATTGGGAGGGGAGGGAGTCGGGTGATGTTGGGTGGAGGGTTTTTTTTTTTTTCCTTTTTCCCATGGGAAACAGGTGGGGAAGATAGAGTCCCACAAAGGTCTCGGGGGGGTGTCATCACTGTGCCATGTCTGTCACCCAGGCTGGTTTCCTTGGGGGGGGGGGGTCTCTTCCTGCTCCTGTGATCACTCTGTCTCTTCTGAGTGTCACCAAGGGACTCCTGTGCAACATTTCCGCAGGGGACGAGCCAGAGGCGCCCTGCAGGGGCCCTGGTCTCCCCATGCCTCGGCACACAGTTGTAAGTTTGATTTCTGCTATCTGTGGGAAGCGCAGACTCCTGTAGGATGGCTCTGTTCCAAGTTAGGTTTGATTTAAGCCATTACGTCAGATGCTGGGGGGTTTTAAGGTTAGAGATTTTGCACAAACATCACGGCAAGATCATTTTCAAGGCAAACATGGGACCCTGAGTAAAAAGGACGGCTGCTTTCATATTGTGGGGAGGTGGGGGGGGGGGTGGAATTTCCCCAGGGTCTTACACACTAACTTCGTTAGGTCGCCCCACAGTTTAGTGGTGCCCTGGCCTGCTTCTGCATCAGCCTGTGGTGACGCAGCCTCCGAACCAGCTGGTGGCAAGTGCCAGGCAGAATGTTTAAGCAGCCGTATGTATGTTTGGCTTCCTGGTGAACATCGTCACCTGTTTGTCGCACAAGATCTCCCCCAGTAAGTTTTTTTTTTTTTTTTTTTCTCCCCTTCTTCTTCAATCACAGGCCCGCTGGACGAAGACGTGGTGGTGATCGAGGCCACCTCTACCCAGCTGGTACAGCCCAGCGAGGAGATCAACGTCACGTCCACAGACAGCGAGGTGGAGATTGTCACCGTGGGAGACGGCTACAGGTGAGCCCTTTCGCCTGCCCCTGTGACTGTCTGGGGGGGGTGAAGGCGCTGCTGATGAGGGACGTCCAATGAACCAGGTCTCCCAGTACGAAAGAAGCCTGACTGTCAGAGGATGTTTGATGCGTTTGACTGCATTGTCTGACCCGCATTGGACCATTCCCTTACGCCTATCACTTCTGGTGTTTTGTTTGTCTGTCAGTAGTTGATCACTAACTTAATCAGCCGGACCTCTTGCCCCCCCCCCCCCCCCCATGGGCGAGTTGCAGTTATAATAATTACTGTAGCTACACACCAAAATTGTAGTGCTGTGTACTCCCGCAGAATGACCATACTCACTTGGTCCGCTTCCTCGTGCCATGCGTGTGATAAATTCTACTTACAGATCAAAATTAATCAAGAAATGAAATGCCGAAGTGTAACATACAATGAGGACCCCCTTCCTCTGCCCGTAGGCCGTTCTGCCCGTAGGCCGTTCTGCCCGTAGGCCGTTCTGCCCGTAGGCCGTTCTGCCCGTAGGCCATTTCTGGATACTAAAGCAGAATCGGCTAGCAGTCAGTGAAATGTCTGTTTGTCCTAATTTTAAAAACGCTGGTCTTCTGGCTTCCGAACTAATCTGTAATACGCTGTGTTTATGTACTTTGGAGCCAATCAACATAGTATTTTATGGTGAGTGCTATTTTTAATAATTTCATTAAGTCCATTATAGAGGGGAGTGCTTTTGCTTTACTTTGGCTACAGAATTTTTAGAAGTCTGCTTCTCTGTTTTAAATGATTTTTAAATGTGCAGTTTTGATTCAGCTGACAGTGGATTTTAAACATAATTGTGGAAATGAACTTTCCACTCCGTTTTTGTTGACGTTGTCTTTTTGGTTATGAAAGTGGGAAATTTTGTTTCTACGGGTCTCAGGTTGTTGCTCACATGGAAACAGTAACTCATTTTATTGAAATATGAGAAACATGGGGTTGCTTGAACTTTTGACCACAGTGTAAATGGTTTCATGTTTTTGTGTATGTATTGTGCTCTGTGCAATCAAATGGATTTTATTGTACTGCAGTGTTCAGTTATCTTATAACCGAGGGTGGGGGGGATTGTTCCCCAAATGCTAAAATGCCTGTTGTGTATGTGCTTCTCACAAGGGTTGGTAAAAGGTCACACTCGTGTCCTAGGAGAAGCCAGTGTGAACTGGCCAGTGTGAAAAGGTAGGTTTCTTAAGCCAAAACGCCATCTGCCATAGAAAACGGTGGAGAACCATCAAGGGGGGGGTGCTGTGACCTCAAGCCGAATTAGATGGTATGTGTTCTGCTGTAAGGGATACGGAATCTCATCGCTGGGTGTTTATTCTTTTTTACCTCCCATTGTATTAGTGCCGCACTTCCTCCGCATGATTGTTAGTCAGGTACCTTGGTGGATGGCGCTTAAAATCATTTCCACCCGCTTGATTGCATTATCCCGCTTGGTGTGTCCAGAAATAGCTCTGATGGTGAGCTGCTCTCCTGCTGCCAGCAGTGTCCTTCTTTCAGCCCCGATTAATTGCTCTCTGGATGATCGTTGTCGGCCTTTTCATGTCAGCCCATCAGTTTTTTCTGTTTGCGTTTGCTTTCAGAAATATGGCCTGAGAGAGCTGTGTTAACCCCAGATTATTTTAAGGGAATGTTTTTGGGGTGTTTCTTACAAAGGCTCGGACCTCCTCACCTATGCATTTAGAGCATGTGTTGCCTGGGGGAGAGATTCTCTTTCGTTACAGAGACCCAGCATATAGCTAGACTGGGCAAATTACTATTTCTGTCTGTGACTTGTTATCCCAGTTATGGATTTGAGTTCGAGATTCTCTTGTTGTGCCTGAAGCCTTGATATAAAGCTTATGGGTTGTTTCAGGCAGGTTCTGTCCTAATTTCTGTTTCCTAATGGACGGGACTCCAAGGATCCGTGTGCGTTTGTGTGTCTGCAGGTTTGTATTAACCACATTGTGGGGACATGGTAAAACCTGTTAATTTTTAGCTCGTGGGGACACTTTTCAGGTCCCCACAATATAAACCTCAGTTTTATTAAAATCTGTGAATCCAACAAAAAACTAGGAGAGCCACAAATGTTTTGTATTTTGTTTGGTTACTTATGGTTAATGTCAGGGATCGGTAATGGTCAAGGTTATCATAGAATTAGGGTTATTACCATTGAAATGAATGGAGAGTCCCCACAATGATAGGAATGTATGAATTGTGTGTCTGTACACAGATCGCACAGCCAGGATGTCACCCCAGCATGGCACACAGCGTCTGTGGTGCCAAGGGTGAGCAGAGAACAGAAAGGCTTTTAATTAGGAGACTCGGGTATTCTCAGATAAGAGGGCTGATGGGAGTTGGTGTTGGTCAAGGCAGGCTGGAGCCTTTGGGTCGCGTTGGAGCCGGGCTGATGTCAGTCTACGGCCAGCTGTCAGGTTCTGTTTGCCCCCCGATCTGATCTTTCAGAGAGAACCCCCCCAGTCAGTCCCGGTCTTTGCTCCCTGTCTGAGGGTCCCCAAGGACTGAGCTGAGGAACACCATTTTAAAGCAGACGGTTTTTCCTGATATGGCAAGGTGTAAGCAGATTGGCCTTCTGAGAAGCGCACCCTCATCTGGAAGTGTATCTTCTGCTGTCGGATGCTGTGGTGCCCCCCCTGCTGGCAGGATGTAGGCGTGCGTGTTGCGGCTCCCCTGCAGTAACGCTGTGTGTCTCCCTGGAGGGCTGCCCTTTGCTGAATGTAGTGACATGGCGTCTGAGTGTGTCGATGTTCCCTCTGAGCAGCCGTGCCCGTCCTGCCTGGTGCTCACCTCGTCTCGTAAGTGTTGGCCAGGCGGCGCTGCAGCCAACCTGCACTCTGTCCCCCTGTCCCCAGCCTGTCAGAGGCCCCTTTCCCTGTCTGCAATTCCCGCCAGCCTGTGCCATCAGCACACCTTGCCCAGTTTGTGTGTAATGGCCTCCCAGAGCCACATGGTAACTTGCTTCTTTATGAGACCATTTGGCAGAGGGAGGGTGTGGGTCGGGAGGGGGGGGGGCTTGTGGTCGGGCGGCAGGGTCCCCTGCTCTGCCTGCCTGCCAACCAGCGCACCATGAATGACGACCACAGGACACACATTCTCCGGCGTCACAGACACACACGCCACACGCATTCATTTAATTTAATTGATCTGTTAATTAGCCACACTGGGAAATGCAGCTGCAGGTAATTAGTGTGCCTTGAGGACCCATATCCCCCCCGCGCACTTTGGTACCCATGTGGCTCTTTACCCTGAAGTGGTGCGGGGTATCAGCCCCGCCAAGTGTCTGTAATGCCCCCCTCCCCGGATGGCCTCGTTTAGTGCCCTCAGTTGTGAATATACACTTCTCTCTGGCGCTGATATCCCCCCCCCTGTGATCACTGTTTCCAAACTGCACCTACTGTTGATTCATTATTGATGACCTGATGATGCTCCCCTCATCTTCTGCCCTGAGCTGGACCCCATCCTTCATGTGGGTCTCGTTTGCAGATTTTTGCAGTTCATTCATTGTGTGTTTTGAGTGTGGAATATGTTGTACAGTTTCTCTCTCACCTTTATGTCGATCTAGGGCTTTACCTGCTGTTGGACCCGCAAACCCTGCCCGTGTTTGTGTCTTGGAAAGAGCGTCTCGGCTCCTCTGTGTCCAGGCGGGCCTCTCTCTGCTCCTGCTGTGGCGTGGCCTCTCGTCTCATTGGTCGTCCTGTTCTTTCCCCCGGCAGGCCCCGCCCCTCAGGTGGCCATGGCAGGATGCAGTGGGGTCCCAGCTGTTCACAGGGCCGCGCGCTGGAGCACCGCAGCCGGCACCGCAACTCCACTGTCATCCAGCCGCTGCGGCAGAGTGCGGGCGAGGTGGTGGACCTCACCGTGGATGAGGATGGTGAGTGGCGGGGCACAGCGCCGTATTCGGCTTTCCAGGTTCACGCTCGCGGCGGTACCTGGCCCAGCGCCGCTCACTGACCGTGTGCGTACCCTCTCGCCCCCAGACCCCTCCATGGCGGCGGCGTCCTCCGGGTCCAGCTCCCAGCCTATGAGGTCGTCTTCCTCTTTTCTCAGTGCCTCTACCTCAGACCCCCCTCATGACGGCCCTGGGCCCTCATGCCGTGTCGCTGCCTTCGCCTCTTTGCCCCAGAGCACTCTGGGAACACAAGCCCACGGCGGCGATATCGCTGTGCCCCCCCTGCAGGGTGAGGAGGTCCCGTTGGCCGTGGTGGGAGCAGGGTATATGTGCTGTAGCCGCTTTTGCCGTGTACCTAATCAGCTTTCTTCCTCTTTCACTTCTCTGTCAGATGACGGCAGGAGAGGCTCATTGGCCGTACCTGGGGAGGCTGGCAGCTCAGCGATGCCCCGTCTCCCCTCCTGCTGCCCCCAGCACTCCCCTTGTGGAGGCGCTGCCCCAGGACACCTCCCCCTGGGCCACGCCCACTCCAGCTGCCAGCAAGGACCGCCCCCTTCCCAGCATAGTCACTCCCACCACCCACATCACCACCATCACCACCGTGTGGCGTCTCCTCCGCAGCCACCGGTCGTCTTCCCGGAGCCCAGCTGCCCCCTGGAACGGCCCGTGGGGGTGCCAGGGAGCTGTCCGACGGCAGGCGGGGCCGCCAGCCAGTGCCATGACCAGGTAGGCTGAGCCCTGCAGGGAGCTGGCGTTCTGGATGGTACAGCAGCCAGGGGGTGCTGCTGAGAGAGCCAGTGTATGACGAGGTGTTCACTCAGGGCCGGGTTGGACCCCAGAGGCGGTCACTGATCTGCCCAGTGTTGGCCTGGTGGGTATTTGGTGCAGATGGCAGAGCGTCTACTTTGTTCACTCGCGCAAACATGACTGAAAAAGAGAATCGGCCTGTTCTCAGGTATACGTGCGTGTCTGAAATGTGTGAAATGCAGATTTTGTGAGTTATTACGAGCAGGTGGAGGGCTGCACTGTAACTGTGTGTGTTGGAGGAATGAGGCAGAGTAACAGATAAGTGAGACCACAGCAGGATGCATTTCGCGTGCCTGTGCGTCGCTGAGGTCCATGAACGCTGCTGGCCTCGCTCTCTGCGGTTCCCGCCCCTGTGCCACGGCCAGAACGCACCTCCTCCGTCATTCGTAGGCGGGGGGGGGGGCGGCATTCTGTGCTGGCAGGGGGAGGGTAGAGATAAGACGGAGATGAGCTTTTGTATTGCACTGCACGCAGTGCCTTTAAACTGCAGGCTTGAAATGTGGCTGCAGCGAACCAGCAGCTGTCCGCCATCTCTCAGCCTGATTTTATCTCTGCTGGAGGAGGCCTATCAGTTTCCTTCTGCGTGTGTTTAAAGCCGTCAGGACATCAGATTTTATTTCATTTCCCCCCCATCCCTCCCCCCAAGAGCAGCAGAGATAAAATGTTCAGTCCTGAGATGCATGAAATGGGTGGGTGTCTGCGGCCTCTGACTGCCCCCCGGCCCTGTGACTGCAGCGCCAGCCAGATTCTCTCTGTTTATGTTTTAGAAGCCCTATTCCCCCCCCCCCCCCGGATAGGAGGAGGGGCTCTGCACCCCCCCCCAGCATGCCGATCTCTCTGGCCTTTTTAAATGTGCTGTCTCCATTGGAATCTCAACTCCTCATTTTCTGAATGACTCATCTTCATGTCAAGCCCCCCCCCACATCTCCCCCATCTCAGCTTATGAGCTCCGTTTGGCTAATCGGGACTGATTGCCTAATAAAACGCGTGGGTGGCCATTATTTGGAAGGAGCTTATGGCAGGAAGGAGGTGACTGAATGGGGGGGGGGGGGGGGTTCTGGAATATGCTTTGAAAGTGAATGGATACCCTCCAACCCACCCCCCCGCAGACCCTGCCTGTGGACCTGAGCAGCGGCGCACTGCGGGGGTCAGTGGCCAATGGCCCCCCCGGCACCAGCTTCCACGCCGCCTCGGCCTTTGACCCCTGCTGCCCCGGCTCTTCCACGCGACCCCCCCTCTACACCTCGCAGGCCGCCCCACCCGCTGGCGCCAGCCAGCCCAGCACCATGGACACCTTCAGCTCCGGCATGGTGGCCCCCGCCCAGCTGTCGTCATGCCGGCAGTATGTGAACCCCCCCTGTGAGTGAGCGCCATCATTTATAGTTTTGTTCTTGTTACATCTGCATACATTTATTTGGCAGGTTTTTGTTTCCAAAATAGCAAGTGAGGCAAATATCAGTAAATACGCCATTTAATGGACAAATGAGGGTTTTGGAATTTTTCTCAAAAACAGCTGTATTCTGTATCTATGTTGCCTGTTATGCATAACAAAGCCCTGTCTGGCTCCTTTGCTTCTCCTGGTGGGGGACCCCTTTTTCGTGGGGAATCCCAGCTAGGGGAGATCGCCTTTAACTTCACGTTTATCAGCTCCTCTGATCCTGATCGCGTGGTCAAGATGAGAACTCAAAGCATGACTAGTGATGTGTGTCGTGCCGGAAAATTTTGTCTTTACTGTGAAATCCAGCGATCCTTTGTTTCCATGAGTTTATTTCTCAGAGAGTTTTCATTTCAAAGAATAAGATGGTGAATAATTCTAAACTCTGTTGGGGTTTGGGATTTCACGTCGTGCTATGCTGCGGACATGGCAAGCAGATGATGCGATGTGACGGAGTGCGTGCTCAGCGCTTTTGTACAAATCGCATTAAAATGCAGCGAAAACATACGGAAGGATCTGCATGCCGGCGCTCAGCGCTTGGCGGCCTGTCCTGTCATCTTGGCTGTTTAGCTTCCCTCGCTAGTGTCCTGACATATGATGCATTATGTCCACGAGCAGCAGAAGTGATGCTGCACTGTGTGGCTTGTAGATTCATGGTGTCCTCCTCTTCCCCTGACATGCAGATGGCCCCCTGACTCGCCTGCTGCACCACCAAACCTTGTCCTCCTGCCCCCACTCTCACAGCAGCGCCCCTCCCGCAGCCCAGGTGGACTACGTCATCCCCCACCCCGTGCACCCCTTCCATGCCCCCCTGCCCCCCCACTCCCACGGGCACACCATGCCCCCCGTGCCGCCACCTTCTCTGCCCACTGAGGCCCCGCTGGGCTCCTCCGTCCAGAGGCTGCACCAGCATGAAGTGTTCCAGCGCATGGAGGTCCAGAGGCGGAGGATGATGCAGCACCCCACGTAAGTCGCTCCCAGAGGCCAGAACCTCATCCTCATCCATCCATTGCATAAAACCACTTATCTGTGTCTGAGTTGCGTGGGAGCCTAGTGGATAACACACAAGCAATCATACAATTCAGAGGCTCCTACAACAACAATAATAAATTTAGTAACGATAAGATTATGATAATTAGCATTAGCAGTAGTAGGAGCATATCTTGTTAATACCTGCCTTCTGAAAGTCACACGTGATTATTCTGGGCGGGGCCTCTCTCTGGGGTCGCAGTTGGTATTCACACGCCCATGGTGCTCATATGGGTGCTGCTGTTCAGGCATGGTTGAGGACTTACCAGGCGTCACACAGCTGGACTCGTTCCCTGAATCCACTCGGGCTTATCGTTGAGCTCTCGGGACCCATGTGTTGTGATTCTCCACTCTGCAGTACCAGCAGGTGGCCCCGCAGGTCTAATGGGGGGGGGGGGGCTGGTGCGCACTCAGCTTCATGTGTCGTATAGCCCTGCCCATTAAGATCCAGCTGCTTTGGCAGGCGAGCCCACGAGCGACCCCCACCACATCCCCACAGGATGCACCCCAACTACGGACACGGGCACCACATCCACGTGCCGCAGACCATGTCCTCACACCCACGCCAGCCGGAGCAGAGGGCCGCCTGGTGAGTCCCCTCCCACTGGCCCCGGGGGGGGGGGGGGGGGGGCGTAAGCTAGTGTGCCTGTTTGCTTTGTGTAGCCGGTTCTCTTCTAAATGTGTCATTTTTGTACTTTTCGATTTTTTTCTTTTTTTTAAATTGTGCGAGTCTCGCGTCTCAGGCCTGTGTCCATCTTGGCAGGGACCTGGGGATTGATGCCAGTGTCACTGTGACCCCCTACCCTCCGGGGCACCTGCCCCCCCCTCTGCCCCATTACCACCCGCCCCCCCGGTTGCATCACTTCCCGCTGCCCTTCATGGTGAGGCTGCTCCTCTACTCTCTCTGCGTTCCCATGATGGGACGCCATGCTGCTCTTGGCTATAAGGAGATACTGATCCGGGGCCGTAATGCCGTGTCTGATGCTCCGCTCCCCCCACAGCACGCTGGCATGCCGGATGTCAGCTACCCGCACATCCGCTACATCTCGTCCAGGATGCCGGGCTTTGGACGCTCATATGAGGTAGGCATGCCCCCCCCAACCCCCACCCCCATGTCCCAGGGGGCCTCCACTTTATGCTTCATGTTCCCTGCTATTCACCCCCCCAGGATCTGCTGCACCTGGAGGAGCGGCTGGGCACTGTGAACCGCGGTGCGTCTCAGGGAACCATAGAGAGATGCACCTACCCGCACAAGTACAAGAAGGTGAGTGGGGCTGTCTGTCTGTGTCTGTGTCTGCATCCCTCTGCATGTCTCTGTCTGTTTGAGGTGACCACCTCTGAGTAAGAGAATACCCCACACAGTAACAAAAGTCTACCATTAATCACTTTGGTTGTAACCTCAATTACAAACAGTGTATCACACTAATGCGTATATTACTATTATAATGATAGTAACAACCCATCCAGCCAGCCTTCACTGCATTCGCTACCAGTCATGGCTGTGCTGATGTGGAGCCCGAGTGGCAGTGTAGCCGCGTGGGCGGACGGGGTGGCAGTGTAGCCGCGTGGGCGGACGGGGTGGCAGTGTAGCCGCGTGGGCGGACGGGGTGGCAGTGTAGCCGCGTGGGCGGACGGGGTGGCAGTGTAGCCGCGTGGGCGGACACTGAGCAGAATGCGGTTTCATTCCTGGCCTTCACTGTCTCTGTCTGCTCTGTCCTGGTGGTGTTTGGAGATTAGGAAGGAGAAAGGAGGCGGGGGGGGGGTTGGTGGTGCAGCATACTTCCCTGGCCTGTATTTATACGTGTACAGTTGCTGCCTGTGATGTTATCCCCAATTGTTGATACCCCCCCCCCCCACACTGAACTTTTCTGCCCTTATGAATCTGCTCTTTTTGGACTGTGTTGCCATTAGCCCAGGCTGACTCGTTTCCGTTTCATTCACCTGTGCAGAGAAAACTGCACAGCAAGCAGGATGGTGATGAGGGGATGGAGGAGGATACGGAGGAAAAATGCACCATCTGTCTCTCCATCCTGGAGGAGGGAGAAGACGTCAGGTACGACCCAGGATCCACAGGCGCTGGACGGCCCTTTGACTCGGCTCCTCCCTGGTGCACATGCCATCCAGAGCCCGGCTGGATGCCTGCCTGGTGCTCGCATTACCTTCATATACAGGCGTAGTCTGTTTCAAAATCCCCTTTGCTTTACACAACACAAGCAGCTGTGTAGTTCAGGAGTACTGTCATAGAACCTGAACCTCTCACTGTCACCTTGTAATCAGGGACTGTGTGGAAAGCCTCCCCTCTTCTGTGAAGTGTATGTTTTTGAGTACTAAAGGATGAAAATGACGTGTATTTCTCCAGGGGAAAGAAAAGCCAAGGTCTTTTCTGTTGGTGGTTTGCAGTTGAAATGATTGCCCTGGATAGAGATTTCTTGTGATTCTGCGGCTTTGGGCTCTTCTGCCCTCTGGTGTCTCATCTTGGAAACAGCATGTTGGTATCTAGATTGGGCATCTCCCTCTTTCTCTCTCCTATGTTCTTGCAGACGCCTTCCCTGCATGCACCTGTTCCACCAGCTGTGCGTGGACCAGTGGCTGCTCACCAACAAGAAGTGCCCCATCTGCAGGGTGGACATCGAGGCCCAGCTGTCCGCGGAGAGCTGATGTCATCCTCTTGGCCTTTCTGTTTGACTTTAGTCGTCCGTTCATCCCTCGTTTTCTTGTCAGCACTGCAGTGAACCAAAGATGTCAGGAAGCACCCACGGCGATTCGGAAACAGTCCGAAATTATAGAGGATAAATGAGCATCGAACTTAGTGCCAACTGTCACATGACACCAGTATTGCTCGGAATGACATCCTTAGTAAAGATTTAAAATTGAAATGTATTTATAAGGTCTTGTTTTTGTAGCTTTCCTTATTCCCCAGTGTCAATTTTGTGTTTTTTTGTTTTTTTTTGTGTGTGTGTTATTTTTTGCATGGTTATGTGTTGCGCATTTCTTTGCACATGTGGTGAATTCGGCTCCTCCAGGCCTGAACTGGCAGGCAGAGGGCGCTGCTCTATGTAACGGTGCATTGCGATGTACATGGAGCGAATGAGAGCTTAGCGTCCGTCTGTTAACACTGCAGGAATCATTGATCAGTGATTGTTATTTTGTTCAGTTTCTGTGTATGTGTCATATACCATGTGAGCGCGGGCTGCCGGACGAGGTTCAGAGGAAATAAACAAATTGACATTCCTTGATTTGTGGTGGGGGTGAAATAGGACCAGCGGCCCGAAGTGTTGCCGCGTCAGTGTTTCACCCAGTCTCGCTGCCTGGTGCTTCATCAAGAAAGAACGACTTGAAAACCATGAAACTGAGTACAGCCGTTTCTACATGCTAACCCCAGCATTCAGTGCTCTTTCTCCCAAGGTCATTTTTTAAATCCCCCCCCCCTTCCTCTTAGCTTGTAGGGAGGTGGACGGCATGAGCTCTTGGGACTTTTACTCTGGGTTTCCCTACATTGTGAACTGCCTGTGGATCCACCAGCTCCCTGGGTGATCTCAGCCTGCAGTCGCTGGTTTCATGCCATCTCCGTTTTCAAGCTGATTGAGGACGAACTTCGAATGGATCTCCATCTGGTCGTCTTGCTGTTTGTCCCGATGTGCCGCCTTCCCCTTTCTGCTGGACCGGCAGGAGCGTCCTGCCGCTGACACCGGGAACTAAACACTATTATTATTCTCCAATAGTTAACTTGCATATACTTGCACATCGAAAGATGCGACGTGACAGCGGCCCCGTGAATATGAAAGTGACGTGAAAACGTGAATCTTCTCCGATTCCTGAGAAACTAATCCTTCTGAATGGAAATACTGTTCTGTGTGGCCGCAATCCATGTATTTGAAGGCCTGAGGATTTCTGAGGGATTTATATTAGTTTTAAAAATATATTAATAAACTTAGGAAACTATTTGTGTCTTGTATTTAATACATTATACTGTATACTAAACTGCTGTACCTATTTATGAACTAACACGGGGATATGCAAAGCGTAGGCATGTGACTGCTGCAGAGTTCTGGGTCATACCATGTGGGCAATAGTTCTTATATATTAATAGGTTTATTCGTTTTAAATTATTTCCAGTATGAAGACATGCATGTGTGAAACGGAGTGTCTTACTGCACAAGTTTGGGAAATATAACGTAAATGCGAATTACAATGGCATAAGTCGCTTTGGTGCATGCTATTTGGCAACCAATTATATAAAGACTGTGAAACAGGATCCAATTAAAATTAGAGTGGAATGACATTTAAGGGGCTTCATTGGCAAGCTAAGGGATACCAGTCTTCTGTCGATTGACGAAGGGATTGCGGAGACCCGGGATCCTTGTGTCTTCACGTTATAATTTCAGACGACAATTGGGATGCCTCTGGCAATCGGCGCGGTAGTAAGTAGCTGTACTTATGTTTGTAGCATTGTTTCTAGTAGATAAGCATGCAAATTGGCTGTTTGTGCATTCATTGTATGTTTTGGAAAGACCTGTGCAATGCCTGCACCGGAGAAAACAAACCAAGCGCTTAACCCCCTATACCACTCGACTAAAAAAATAGTCTGCGGAATCATGGTAAACTCCTGTACCGCAGGGATAAGTTCGCGGCTCCAAGTTGAGGGACACGATCCTCTTTCTTGGGGAGTTAACCAAGCACTTGAATATCTAACGCCAGGGGCGGACTGGCAACAAAAGCACCCCGGGAACTGATCGGCGTCCCTCTTTGGTATATTTTGCCCGTCGCGATCAACCGGTTGGCCACCAATGAAATAAAGCATTATCCATTAATCATGTCCTGCTATCGACCTGGTAACATGCAGAGATCGACCGACGGCTTGGGTTCCCGTGGTATAAGCAAGAGACCGGCCACCGGGAAAAATCCCACGAACTTCCCGATGGCCGGTCGGCGCTTATCTAACGCCGTGTGTCCCCACAAACAGATACGGAATGGCGAAAACGCGGTGGCACTGGGCAAGATCGGTGCCCCTGGCACCAGGCGAGCGGTGCTTGCGGAGCTGTCAAACTTCGTTAGCAAACCGGGCCCGGCCAAGGTAGGCTGCAGCTGGAACTATGCTCTTTTCTTCCAGTAACGGCATATAAACCTCGGCGTTCTTCCCGTAGAAATCTGCGTCCTTCAAGGTCCAGGCTACAAAAAAGCCGAAGCCGGATTCCCAGGATCCAGCTCCGCCGGCTGCTGCTTCTCCTGTCCGTCACAAGGAGACACAAGAGGTCGCTGCTGTGGTGTGTGCCGACGTGTCCATGAACGAAGCCTTCTCATGCACCCGTTTTGCTGTTGAAGACATCGATGAAGGAGACTCTGGCATGCCTCAGCTGTGTTCTGAATACGTAACGGACATTTATGAGTACCTAAAGGATCTGGAGGTATCGTGTGCTTTATAGCTATCGTGTGCTTGATAGCAATCGAATGTAGAAGTTGTCAGCAATGCGGCAACCCTATGATCTGCATCAGCTGCTCTTGTTTCAAAGTAACTGTATGCTGCCAGTTAGCCCCTCTCTGCATCCTGTTTTCTCAGGCCGAGTACATTATCTGGCCGCGGTACATGCTGGGCTATGAGATAAACGAGCACATGCGCGCCCTCCTGGTGAACTGGCTGATCCAGGTGCATGCGAGGTTCCAGCTCTTGCAGGAGACTCTGTACTTGACTGTTGCCATCCTTGACCGCTTCCTCCAGGCAAGTGACGCTCCCAATCTTAGCATGCGGCCACCTTGGACATTGGTCAGTAGACGCCCATGCGCTCGCAGGTGCAGCCTGTGTCCAAGCGGAAGTTGCAGCTGGCTGGTGTGGCTGCCATGCTGATCGCGAGCAAGTACGAGGAGATGTGTGCCCCAGAGGTCGCCGACTTTGTCTACATCACAGACAACGCCTTCTCGAGGGCACAGGTCTGTGAGATGGAGATACTGATGCTGAAGGACCTGAACTTTGACCTTGGTCATCCCCTCCCTCTGCACTTCCTTAGGAGGGCGTCGAAGGCTGGCAAGGTATGGCTTGTTGCCAGGGGGTGGGGTCTGATCCTGCTTCTGGACTCTATGTGCCCGATTCTGCTTAATCTCAGGCCGATGCAGTAAAGTACACACTAGCCAAGTACCTGATGGAGCTGACCCTGACTGATTACCACATGCTGCACTATCGACCCTCAGAAATTGCTGCTGCTGCACTGTGTCTCTCCCAGCTTGTTATTGATGGACAGCAGTGGGTAAGGTCAATGCCCCCCCCCCCCACCACCCCGGAGAAGCAGGCTGATCACTGGCATGACCGCAGTATGTTTGTCCCCATATTTCTGTATGCCCGCTTCCAGTCTGTGACCCAGCAGCATTATACTGGCTACGATGAAGTCCACCTCAAGCCCATCATGCAACACATGGCCAAGAATGTCGTCAGGGTCAACGAAGGGCTCACCAAACATGCTGTGAGCCGGCGTCCAATTCCTGTCACCTCATTGGTTAAAGGCATGTCAGTCATGTCATCTTGGTCCATCTTTTGCAGGCTGTCAAGAACAAGTATGCCAGCAGTAAGCTACTGAGGATCAGTCTGCTTTCTCAGCTGCAGTCCTCAGACATGAAGAACCTGGCAGCACCACTGCTGAATGGATTCTGAGGACTAGTGTTTTTATTATTAATAATAAATATATACTGTATATATTTTTTAAATCCAACTTCTGCTCTTTTATTATGGAGTTAATATTCCATTTTTAAGTGTGCTAGTTTGTAATTTTGTTTGTTCAATAAACAAATTAATTTTTTTAAAGGCAGTGCAAACGTCTGCTTTGCTGTGAGTCTGTGGATTTTCAAAGGAACCCTGAGAGTGACTGCAGTGCTTTACTTGGCTGTGTGTTGATGAGTTTAATGACTGACTGGTCCAATACATCCTCTGCATGAGACATTGTTGCCTGCTGTAATATTCCAGTGTGTTTATGGCATTTTGGGAACTCTGGAGCAGATTCCCACTGAACTTCAGTTTAAAATATTTGCCAAACATGGATTTCTAAAATTGTGATCAGTCGTTCTATATCAAAATGCAAGTTTTTACCAAGAAATGAACTGTTTTTACAGTAGACACTTAGGTCAACTTTGGAATTTTTCTAGAATGAATTGCTTAGTTTATGAAATTCAATCTGAACCTTAATTTGTGAATGTTTCCCCACAAGCTAATGAATTATGATTTGTTTTGAGTTGCCAGTGTTTTAATTGGAGCCCAGAATGCATTGTAGTGACAGAATGTCATTTCATTTTGAGAAAACTGGTTCTTCAAATTCCGGAGTGAAATGTATTTCCACTAAAGAGGTGTTACAACGCTGGAGACAAGTATCTTTTTAAAGGATTGTTTAATATAATCCTGGGACCCTGTACATAAAACATTAATCACTGATAGTTTTCAAAAAGGAAAGAATGTAATCAATAGAAAGCTGTAAACGTGTGTGGCTGTAGAGTGTTACTCTGTCCACTCTTGCTTCAACATTTCCATTGCTTTGATAGTGACTAAGTAAAATACATCTCAGGACTGTTGTTTTTCATTGAATTCCAGTAAATCCCCATTTTAGTGACAGTTGTGGCTGTAGGAGATGTGCTGTAAGGCACGATGGTAGTCCGTTTCATTTTCCTTCCTTTGGTCTTTTGCATCCTTGGCTTAGGACTGTTGCAATCATCAGCCTTTGGGAGATACCTTTGGGCCCTCTGGCTGCCAACTGCTCCAGCACCACAGGAATAAGACTGTACAACACCAGGGGGATCGCATTCTCTGCCTTTCCATTTGATTGGAGGTTCCGGATCCGTTCTGGTTCCCTCTTTAGGGTGTTCCCCAGAATACAGCAGATCTAGATCTTGCTGACGTAGTTGTTGGGAAACAGGCCCTGCTTCCCTCGCAGTCTCCCTGTCCACCATCCAGAGACATCTAAACAGCAGAGACAAAGGCTGGATTGGCAGGGCAAGGACAGGTTCCCCTCCCTCAGTCTAAGACGGAATGAGTGCATCCCTTTGGCCATTTCTCCCTATAATGTTTTATTATCCTAAAGTCCCAAAAACACTACAGATGTCCTTGAGTAGTTAAAACTTGGCGAACCTGTGTCGCCTAGTCACTGACTGAGGAGGAGTCTGCAGAATGGCAGGACTGGAACCGCCTGACCTTGTTCTAGAACAGGGCTTTTCAACCTTTCTTACATCAGGGACTGTCAAATACTGTACAAGCTGACCATAGCTAGGGACCCCCCACCAATGATGGCTGAATTTATGAATGACTAAGAACTAAAGACCCGGGGTTGGGGTGGGTTTTCATTTCTGTTCCAGTCCCCCTGGCTGGATCCAGGCAAATTAGGCATGAAAAAATATACTACATATTTACATATATAACAATTATAAATAACTAGACAAAATGAGAAATAATAAAAAAATCATACATCAAAATGAATGTTTATGAGCAGGCAGAGACGTGACCGGCTGTAGCTGCAGGCAGAACAGGCAGTTTCCCTGGGCCCCTGAACTAGCTGCCTTGTATAGGAAGTGAAATAATCAGCACTGTTCTTGGCTGGGGGGGGGGCTCACAAGTAAGGCTTTGCTTAGGGCCCCTGAAAAGGCAGAGCGGGACCTGACAGTCTCTGTAGGATATTTTTTCCTCCAAGGAATTGAGGATGATGCCAAGGGGTATTATCACACAGAGTGCGTGAGATTATCAGTAATGCATTTTGTCAAGTTTTATTAAAGCTGAATACCAGCTGAAAAACCCTGTTCTAGACCTTCCCTGAATCATCCTGCCAGGACTTGCGGTGCATGCTTGCACTGGACTCGCAGTGCATACTTGCACTGGATGTCTCTGCCGTCTGATGCCATAGGGGTTCCTGACCTTCTTCCATGATCTCGATGATGTCGTCTGCATTGAAGCTGAGCTCATCCGTGTCCTGAGCATCGTAGGCATATAGCGCCTTGCAGCGTGGCAGCTGTAGCTTGGGCTTGGGGGTGGGTTTGGGTCGGCCAGCCCCTGGCGTGGGCCGGCTCAGCATCTCCCTTTGAGCGCTGGGATGCAGAGAGTGTCAGTGCAGAGTGTTAACAACTTATAGAGCAAACCCACATTAGAAAGGCAGTAAGTGTACCACTGTGCAGTATAATCTCAGCGCTCAGAAGATCCAGATGTCATGCACAAATAATACTTCCCCCATTACTGGTATTTCTGAAAAATAATTTTGGGTCTTTAAAAGAAATTCAGTTTCAGATAATCTTAAGAACCCTTTAGCCCTGACCAGGAGAAGTGGTTGAAAGAACTGGCTCCCTTCTGCAAATTCACCAGTCTGCCACTCTAGGTGATTCTTTTAATGGATCTCTCGTGTGTGTGAGAAAGAAATGAAAATTTTCATTCTATCAGACTGGATGATTAATGTGTATGTGCGTTTCTCACTGGCATCCCACGCGGGGTGTACGCCCGCCCGGGGCGTTTCTCACTGGCATCCCACGTGGGGTGTACGCCCGCCCGGGGCGTTTCTCACTGGCATCCCACGCAGGGTGTACGCCTGTCCTGCTCGTTTCTCACTGGCATCCCACGCGGGGTGTACGCCCGCCCGGGGCGTTTCTCACTGGCATCCCACGCGGGGTGTACGCCCGCCCGGGGCGTTTCTCACTGGCATTCCCACGCGGGGTGTACGCCTGCCCTGCGCGTTTCTCACTGGCATTCCCACGAGGGGTGTACGCCTGCCCTGCGCGTTTCTCACTGGCATTCCCACGAGGGGTGTACGCCTGCCCTGCGCGTTTCTCACTGGCATCCCACGCGGGGTGTACGCCTGCCCTGCGCGTTTCTGACTGGCATCCCACGCGGGGTGTACGCCTGCCCTGCGCGTTTCTCACTGGCGTCCCACGCGGGGTGTACGCCTGCCCTGCGCGTTTCTCACTGGCGTCCCACG